GGTCATTCCATTTATTATCCGCACCCCCCCCTATGGATGAGCTCTGGTAAAAATGTTACCTGTAGGAATCGGATTTCAGAGAAGTACCCTGTTGGAATCGACAGTATCAATCTAAACCCTAGGAATGCTGCTAATTGCCAATATCTCACTGGTAGGAATCTGCTAATTGCCAATATCTCACCGGTAGGAATCTGCTAATTCCCAATGTCAGACCGGGGGAGGGGTGAGGATAATAAATGGAATGATTATGATTCTCATAATAAATATTTGGCAATATAGTATGCTACACCTCGACGGCAATATCTGACCGGTAGGAATCGGGCCGAAGGAATCTGCTAATTCCCAATATCTGACCAGTAGGAATCCCCTAAGTCCTAATATCTGACCGGTAGGAATCCGCTCATCCATAGGGGGGGTGCGGATAATAAATGGAATGACCCATAAGGATTGTAATTACAGAAGAATTACAGCATTGAATGTGATATATCAGTGTATTGATCCTTAACCCATTAAGCTGAAACTGTGTTGCTTAAGACAATTTTACTCGTCAAGGGGAGAGTCTTGCAAGCTCTTTATTAATGAGCTTCAGTTGTATAAAATGATTTGTTTGTAAAAGCTGTCAGATGTATGAGGGTTGAGACAATGCCTCAAATGTTCTCTTTATATATTTTCAGATTAATATTGGAACTGGATTATAGCCCGGTGTTCTCCAAATATTGTTCTCAAGTCTCAACAATCACATCTGGATTGAGTTGACAAACTGGTGTTGTAAGGTAAGAATTAACAAGAATAAATAGTCAGCTTTTAGTGCTTTCTATGAAAAAAATCACAAACTGGCCCAGCTAAGGTGGCCACCTAGGCCAGACAAATCAGTCTCGATCTTATAAACAGGTAAAACAGCCCCTACAAAAATTTAGTAAATAGTAACAACATAATTACGCATGAATCCTAAGTTTACCTCCAAATGCAGCCATTTTAAGGCCTGTTAACACTGACACTGTGCTCAATTTTGGTACCCGTAACATGTTTACCATGCTTGGACTACCTATTCATACTGGCCGAGCACAGATTAATTTGGTACAGGTACCAGTTTTATCTGTGCCGTTCCAAAAATTGAGCATAGTGTGTAGGGCTTTAGTAGTTTAGTGCTTTAATAATCTAAATTATGCCAGAAGTATGAAGGGTCAGTGTGCAATAGCCAATTTTCTGTCATGAATGAGTCATTACAGTATGGTACATGTAGAGCTGTCCATAGGCCTGCAAAAATACAGGGGGAGGGCTATGGCTGGACCCATTGACCTGCAATTTGTCCTAATGTGCTCTGTCTTGTTAAATTAATTTACTCTGTCTTGTTAATTTACTCTGTCTGATACCAAACAATTTTACCTATCTTTCCATGCTTCATACTAAGTCCAAAAAAAGAAATGCCTGGGTTTCTATTTCTCATATGCAAAAAAATTAGGCAGGGTAGGTTGGGTTTTCTTTTTTTCTTGTACATTTTTTATTATAAATGTTCATGCATGAGAATGATATTCTACATCAATTACGGCAGCACAGATGACACAAACATTCATTAAATATTACATCAACTTTGATGGGTATGAAAAATTGTACCAAACTTTTTGCAAACTTCAGATAAAAAGATTAGGGTCAGTGATTTCTTTGGCCTAACTCATCAGTAAGCCCTAATGTCTCCTGTAATATACTTTACAAAAATAGTATCAAATCAAATGTAACCTAGTAGATCATTAATTAAGCCAATATATACCTGGTAACCCATTAGACGTGGCTACCCTAAGGGCATCCCCTATTTGGTCAACACTATCTAGATTATTCTTGATGTCTCAATGCCAATTAAATCCAAAACATATTAAATAAATCTGATTTTATACCATTATTCAGTTTATTTACCAGTCCTTTGTTTTACCCAAGAAAAAACAACGAGTAACAGAGGTAAAACTTATATTGCTTTTTCTACAAAACATGTGTTCTCAAGAGCATGCTTAATGCGCATGCGCTTGCTAAATTATGCTAAATACTTTACTATGTAATACATAACGCGTGTCCATTCCGCCGGCCTTGATTGCATCAACAAAAGAATGTCAAGAATATAATGTTATTTACCGGATTGGAGGTCCGTATAGAGAAATATTTCTCGAGGTCTTAAAATCGGCCCGAGGCCGAAGGCCGAGGGACGTTTTTAAGACCGAGAGAAATATTTCTCTATACGGACCGACCATACCGGTAAATAATATTTTTATTTTTTTTTAATTCCTCCTCTTGATTTCCCCAATCACTCCTCCCGCATGCGAATGAAGCTGCCAAATAAAACGTCGTTTCTATCAATGCTATCGGGAAGAGAAATATCTTTTGTGAGATAGTAAAATTCGTTTTCACTGTGTTTTTCATTGTCATTTCAGACATTTTAATGTTTTAAAAAGTAGCCTTTAAACTCGTCTTCAAATTTTGAAAAATAAAAACATTGGCTCTACGGCTTTAATCTCGCGCGGTCCGTACGGGCTCATACGGACCGCTCACGTAGCCAATCAGATTGCAGAAAAGCGTAAAATATGACTTCGGGCCGCAAGAAAAAAAATAAAAACATATTTAAATTTATCTGTTCAAACTTATATAAAATAAAATTATAATAATATAATAAAATTATCACCTGTGGAGTGCCCCAGGGATCTATACTGGGACCACTGCTGTTCCTATTATATATTAATGATTTGCCCGATTGTTTGAAATCAACTAATTCATGCATGTACGCGGATGATACTCAAATCTTTTCATCTTCCTACGATGCAAATGAACTTGTTGTAAATTTAAATTCAGATCTTGCCCATGTCTGTAACTGGCTTAAAGAAAATAGGCTGCAGATGCATCCATCAAAATGTAAAATGATGTTTATTGGCTCTCCGTATAATCTTAATAATATAATGTGTGAGGAACCCGTTGTGGCTAATGCAAAACCCATATCACGAATTGCTACACAAATGTGCCTAGGACTAAAACTAGGTGAAACCCTTAATTGGGATAGTCACATTGAAATGATATGCAAGAAGGCGAGCGCTGCTATTGGCGCTATGAAACGTATAAAGCCCTTTGTTCCAATGCATACCCTAGAATCGATTTATAAAAGTCTTGTGCAGCCCTACTTTGATTATTGTTCCCCCCTTTGGGACACTTGTGGTAAGTTGCTAAGAGACAAGTTGCAAAGATTTCAGTCTCGTGCAGCAAGAGTCCTAACGTGTGCTAATTATGATACTCGCTCAGCTGATCTTCTCAACATGCTTTCTTGGGATACACTTGAAAATAGGCGGTCTGGTGCCAAGTCAGTATTAATGTATAAAATACTTAACGACCACACTGCGCCAGGTCTCCGGGGGTCATTCGTGAGAAGAGAAATAGATCAAACTAATTATCATCTTCGAAACACAGCAACTGATCTAACAATTCCTAAACCGAAACGAGAATTTCTTAAAAAAAGTTTTAAAAATAGTAACGTGTAGCTACAGTATGTGTGTACTAATATTTAGTTTAAATTTTTCTTTTAATGATTTTTAAGATCTAAACACGCCCCCCATGGAAACCAGCCTAGAGTTGATGGGGCTAGCGTGTTCTTCTTTCTGTTAATTTTAAATAAAGTATTACCTACCTACCTACCTACCTTCGTTCATTGTTCATTACTTCACTGCATTTGATCATCTTTCTTCGGCACTTCCTTCGCTGGTAGAAGTAAACATAACTTCACAATCGGTCGGTGCCAGTCTTCGTTTGTACAGTAACGACTCGAACAAGTTTATCTGGACCAGGATGAACCTTTGTGACTCGACCAAGAGGCCATTGACAAGGTGGTGTACGAGGTGTTGTCTTTAACGAGGACAATATCGTCTAGTTGAAGATTTCGTTTTGGAACTTTCTACTTGTTAAATCGTTATAAACCATTGAGATATTCAGCAGACCATCGTTTCCAGAAGTGTTATGTCAATGCTTGACAGAGTTTCCATCTTTTTAAACCAAGAATGGGCTCTTTATAAATGCGGCTAGGTAGAGCTTCTAAAGGACGTCCAATTAGAAAATGCCCAGGAGTTAGTGGAGATATTCCATCATCATTCGTATCAAGCGAAGGTATCAGTGGACGAGAGTTGAGACAGGCTTCGATTTGGCAGAGGGTGGTTGTCATTTCTTCGACGTTTAGTTTGGTTTTCCCAACTATTCGCTTCAAGTGCCGTTTACAGGACTTTACCCCGTTCTCCCAAAGAGAACCATGATGAGGACCGGTGGGTGGGCTAAACTTCCACTGGATGCCTTGGGACGAACAAAAGTTCATAACAGATTCTTTGATATCTGATCTTTGAAGTAGTCGATAAAGTTCCCTTAAATCTTTATCCGTACGCCGAAAACAAGTCGCGTTATCGCTCCAAATCTTCGAGAAACAAAGCGACGAAGTGTAGCAAGGAATGCTTCCGCCGAGAGGTCTGATACTAATTCGATGTGACACGACTTGGTTACGAGGCAAACAAAAACTGCTACATAGGCTTTGCGATACGTTGGCTTTCGAACTGATCCTATCTTTAGTGTAAATGGTCCAGCATAGTCTACCGAGACTCTCTCATTAGCAAAGGTGGGCAAAACACGTGCTGACGGAAGTTGACCCATCAGTTGAGTTGTTTGTTATCTTTGGAGATGCTCGCTTGCACACAACACACTCACGTATCAACTTACGAACGACTCTACGTACACTAATGATGTCATAGGTATCCTGAAGAGATCCTAACGTAAGCTTTGGACTAGCATGGCACAATCGTTTATGTTCACTTTGTACGATCAAGGTTGACAGATAATGCTTTCCATGAAGGATCAGTGGATGCTGAGATTCGTAATCTTTCATTGACTGCGAAAGACGACTACCAACTCTTAATAATCCGTCTTTATCCAAGAAGGCATTCAATGATTGCAAAGGATCCGACAATTGTAATGGGTTTTTCTTTCTTAACAATTTGACAGTGTTTGGGAACATTTGAGCTTGGGCTTGTTTAATCAACCAAGTTTTAGCTTTGGATAGTTCAGACACTGCTAGTGGTGTAGAACTAAATAGGTGACCACGCGAAATACCCAGGCAGTAACTCTCACGAGTTGAATGTAACTGGAATATCGAGTAATGTCAATCACAGGCTCCGTCGAGGCTTTATCTGTCGTTGTTTGCAGAGTAACTTCTTCTTTCTCTTTTAGTTGTAAGCAGTCTTTCGTGACACCCAGCGATTGGAGAGCTTCCAGTGAAGGAGGTGCAGTAAATTTCGATGGCCAATTCGACTGATTTTGCTTAAGCCAATCTGGACCAGTCCACCAGAGGGGGTGTTCTTTAATTTCCTTTGCTAATATACCACGAGATCCGACGTCCGCTGGATTTTGTAAACCATCAACGTGCTTCCATCTTTGAGGTGGTATCAAATCTTGTATCTTTGCAATTCGATTAGCTTCAAAAGTTTTAAACCATAGATCCAGTAAAGAACGATTGAGCTGTCTGTGAAGGCATGTAAATTCAACAATGGAATAGAAAGGATTTCTTGAAGATGTCTCATCATCTGCGCAAGTAAAAGAGCTCCGCAAAGTTCGAGACGAGGTAGGGAAACTTTCTTGATTGGTGCAACGCGTGTTTTAGCCATGACAAGAGATATGTGAACTTCACCTGTTGTGTTAGTGCTTCTCAAATAAACAGTACCACAATAAGCCTTTTCATTGGCGTCAGAAAAACCAATAAGCTGTTGATCAACAATCTGGAAATGTATTGGCGTATAGCAGCGATGGATTCTTAAGTTGGACAATTCAAACAAACTTTCTCTCCGGTTCATAAAGTGTCTCTGCATGTCCGGTGGCAATGGCTCATCCCAATCGATGCTTTGTTTCCATAGCCGTTGGAAAATGATTTTCACAACAATCGTGACACACGAGATAAGACCAAGTGGATCGAAGATCTTTGAAGAATCAGATAATACGTTGCGTTTGGTAAGGTGGGACTGATCAACGGAGAGCTCAGCAGTAGAAAATCGAAAACAATCTTGATTTGAGTTGTATTCTATATCAAGTGTCTTAACGAAGTTGTCCGAATCTCCTAACTTAGATGTAATTTGGCTGCTTCGAATTTCTTGCGGAATAGAGTTCAACACTTCAGTAGAGTTAGAGTCCCATTTATGAAGTTTGAAACCGCCTGTGGCAAAGAGATCTTGGAGCTGTCGTTGTAACAAGATGGCTTCTTGCTTGGTTTGTACAGAAGGTAAACCATCGTCCACGTATAAGGATTCCCTTACGACTTTGGCAGCGAGCGGGAACTTTACTTCGTTGTCTTCAACGAGGCGAAATACCGAATTTGTTGCAAGAAATGGCGCACTTGCAATTCCAAACGTGACTCGTGTCATTCGATAATCATGGACTGGATCATTAGGATTTTCTCTCCACAGAAACCGATGGTAATCTCTATCCTCAATAGCTAAGCCAACTGCCCGATACATTTTGGAAACATCAGTGGTAAGGACATACGGATGTCTTCGGAAACGAATGAGAACATCGTTGAGTGGGGAATATACAGTTGGTCCGACAAGAAGCTGATCATTAAGAGAGACACCAGAAGTGGTTTTCATTGAACCATCGAAGACAACACGTAGAATAGTTGTTGCCGAATCTTTGTAAACAGCATGGTGGGCCAAGTAAAAGGTATTCGAAGAGGGTTTGTTGAGATCATTATCGGGAACTCTTTCAGCATGACCAGAGGAAATATACTCATTCACAACATTTGCGTAATCTTCAAACTGTTCGGAACGACAAAGACGACGTTCAAAAGACAAGAAACGACGTAAGGCGAGAGGTCATGATTCTCCCAAGGTTGATTTCTGTGGTTTGAAAGGGAGGTTAACAATAAAGCGACCATTTTCTTCATGCTTGAGGTGTTGGTTGTAATGTTGTAATGCTAATTTGTCAGTCAGTGACACAGGTACTTTAGGTTTAGGTGGCTCCTCCAATGTCCAAAATTTCTGCGGAGTTTCTTCGCAACTAGGATAAGCAGTAGATACATGGAGAATTGTGACTGATTCTGTTGTCGAACGATTAACATTGACATTGCCTACAAGACCCAATCAAAAAGGGTTTCTTGAGCTGATGGCGTTCCTTTAGGTCCAAGAATAAGCTCTTGTTTCAAGATGTCGTGATAAGCACTTACACCAAGAAGAATATCAATTGGTTTCGATATATTGAATGCATGATCTGCTAACTTGAGAGAGGACAAATGAGGCCAGTGACCTTTTGGAAAGGAAGTGGTAGGTAGACACCTGGTTAAGGACTGAAGAACAATAGCTTGCATATTTGATAGAGTAGAAGAGCTCTGAGTAGATTTCAAGTTAATGTTCACAATACTGTTACTTAGGGTAGAGCATTGGGATCCTCCAATTCCGTTTGTGGTGATTTCCTGTTTAGATCTTCTTAACTTAAGGTGTTGAGCTAATCTTTCGGTGATGAAGGACGCTGTTGAAGCTGGGTCGAGTAGGATTCGAGCTGTCATTTGTTGACCAGATGGGGAGCTTACGATGACTTCAGCTGTTATCATAAGAACATTATTCAAACTGTTCGCTTTGGGTGTCGCTACGTAGCTGAGTGATGCAGTAGATTCACTACTGGTGGGTGGATTACTTGGTGGAGAGGGGTTTGGGAAAGGGGGCAAATTGTTGTTTAGGGCACCTTGCTTCGACATTTCAAGTTTGTTTTCAGGTGGTTTGGAATCATCAACATGCAATAAAGTGTGATGCCTTTTGCTACATTTAAGACATGAATGTGGTGAAGGACATTGCTTTGCCATATGTCTTCCCCTTAGACAATTGAGGTAAAGTCCCCTTTCATACACAAAGGCACGCTTCTCAGAAAGGGATTTCTCTTTGAAGGCTTGGCAATAGGCTATGCTGTGTTTCTGCCCATTGCAAGCTGAACACTTAACTTGTGTGGTAGTGGTATGGACTGATTCTGATTTGCCAAAATTTCCAGGACTGGACGACTTTGGTTTCTTGTTAAAGGGCTGAAATTTTCTTTGATTTCCATCAAAGGAAGTTAGTTCAGTAGTTGTTGCTCTGAGGTCAAGAAATTCAAGGAATTTGGTATAGGCACATCCTTTTCTGCTTGTGTAAATTTTTGCCATTCAATCATTGTTTGGGAATCAAGTTTGGACTCACCCAATGTTGTCATAAACCTATCAAAGTCAAGCTTGTCTTGTGCTTTCAATGATCTTAAATGATGCTGGAAAGTGTCATGTAACTGTCTCAGTTCTGAGCTTGTGCCATCTTTAACTGGTTTGGCATTAGGCAAAGCTCTTGCATGGGCACGATGGATAATTTGGGGGCGATCAAAACGAGCCTCGAGTGCTGCAATAGCTTCAGGGTAAGCTTCTGCTACTGCATTGATTCCTTCTATTGCATCTCTAGCCCTTTTAGTGATAAGAGATTTCAGAAGATACTGCATGCGAAGTTGATTATCTAATTTCTTCGAGTTATGTATTGTTGCTTGGAATTGTTGCCAATGAGACTTCCATTTAGTGGGTTCGCCATCAAATGTAGGGATATTGAGTGGAGGAAGCTTCACAGATTTTTGTTCATTTACTTCAGAACTTTCTAGCGCTTTGACTTTATTTAACAATAAGTTATGTTCATGCTGTTGTTGAGTGTTTTTAAATTCAAGTTCCTTATTTCTGTTTTCCTTTTCAATTTCAATTTCAAGCTCTTTAGTTTGCTTCATTTGTTCACGGCGATGTTGCTTTATGAGTAGAGATAATTTCTCTTGATTTGACTTAATTTTGTCAAAATAACTAGATAAAAGATCATTCCAATTTCCGCAATCTACACCATCTAAATCTGGTATAGACGAGTCAATTTCACTTGTAAAACTATCAAGAGATTTCTCACATTCAGAAATTTGATTTCTGATATCGATAAGATCTTCAATATCGCTTTCATTATTCTTATCAGTTGCTTCTTCAATATTTGCAATTGTTTTGTCTATGTTAGTCACAATACGATTCCACTTTCGTTCTATTGCTTTCTTATCTTTGCTATCAGATGATTTTGTTTCATGTGAAACCTTGGTAGATTGAGTGTTCATAAAAAATACGAGTTTACTTACAGTTTCTCTGATTCGATCGTCATGAGCATCCAGCTCTTCGTAGTCTTTTGCGATCAGTTCTTCATCCTTAGGATCGATTTGAGCGTTGGCCAATAAATATATTTCCTGAAAATGATTATCTAAATCACGAAGTTCCTTTAAGTATTGTTCAGCACATACAAAATACGAATATACATTTTAAGGCAATAGTTGAGATGTTACCGTGTTTAAATATTTGTGAATAAATAGATAAATCACCACTGTAGATCCGCGAGGGCTTCTGTAGTGAGAGTAATCTGCTATCGTCTGGCAAGGATAAAGGATTCCATACTTGTGCATCGATATGATCTAGTGATAGCAGGGCCTCTTTTAATACCATAGACTGGGGGGACTTGTCCCCCCCCAGCCCCTGCTTTGGCTCCTCCAGTGAATTATGTTGTCCCTCTCCCCGTGAAGGTCCCTTCTGTCTAAAATATAAGCAAAAAAGGGAAGAATAACTTGAGTTAAGAAGAGTATTTTAGTATTCCCACGACTAAATCTTTGTCTAGCGGATGAAATATATAAAACAAGTCTAAAAATGCCGAAAAACAAGCCCCAGACATCTAAAAATACAAAAATTTTCTGAGCCAGACAAGTTCCCACTTTTCCCGTTCTTCACCTCCTACTGTAGTTGGGTCCTTTTCTCTTGATGGCCCCTCTATACTGACAAATTCTTAAAAAGAGGCCCTGAGTGATAGTGAAGGAGTGCGGTTGCCAGAACCGGACATTTGGGTCATACAGTACGACCTAATATTGACGAGTGTTCCTGGATGGTGGATGCTGCTCTCTCCCTCATTGCCTGTACTTCGCATTGGCAATTCCTGCAATTTTGTTTGTGGTACCGCCATTGTCATGGTTACGAGTCCAGCTGAGCATCGAGAAAGATGATAGATTGGAGGGGCATTCTAGGGCATTGACTATTGCACATCCCTTTTGGAAATCAGCACTTGCTGAAAAGGCTAATGTGTTTAAATAAAGTTAATCTTATCTTATCATATTGGCCAAGTCCCAGTTGGCTTAGAAGCTGACATGTCTCGTTGAACAATCGCATTAACTCTTTGGGTCCTTGTGTATTCAACAGTACAGTATGTCGTCCAGGTAGATGATGGCACGTAACCCCTGTTTCGAAATGCAATCACTAGTTTTAAGACTTTTGTGAAAGGCCGAACGGCAGGCATTGGAATTCGCAGGTTACATTCTCGAATATGAAGCGCAGATACTCCCTTGGCTCCTTCGTTACAGAGGTTGAACAGTAAGCGTCCTTGAGGTTTTCTAGTTTCATCATGTAATCGTTCTTCTGTTGTGTAGAGACCTTCCACCTGGAGCTTGATGGTTTCCATAAAGGCATTCAGTGGTTTTCAGTTGAAGATTGAACGTGTTTTTTTTGTTGAACAACAAATAGTGTTGAGGTGAACTGTTCGTTCAAGTTGTTCGGTACTTCTACTACTATTTCTTTGATCATACGTTCACCTATGTCTTCCTTGAGTATTAAATGTTGCTTTCTCGTTTTTGCCTTGGTAATTCATAGTCTACTCTTGTGGAGAAAGGTTTCTTGTAATGTTCGTGTTCGCTTTGGGCTGCTTTGTGGGAGGTATCAGGAAACAAGATCTTGTCAGCTGGATAGCCAGCGTGCAGGCCCAGGGCTGGAAGGTCAGATTTGAGGGTTTGTTTCCCCAGATCTGTCAAATTCTCACCATGAGTTCAGCCGAAACACTGCGTTGCCAAGAGGAGCCAGCGCATTTTCCAGCACGATCTTTATATCTCCTGGATCTGGCCCGGAAACATCTCCATCCCTTTCGATGGGCGACTTTAGAGCAGCCGGCTAAAATACGTAGGTCGGTTTTTCATGCCCGTTTCCATGGTTGGTGACACAAGGACATTTTCATTGCTTTTTATTACTGGATATTTACAGTATCCTTTAATTATGCCCATATATCATTGGACAATTGATTTAAGAAATTTTAATAAATCATCATATGTCTCTCTATATATATGCCTCTTTGGTTCAGTATAAAATCTCTTACCTTGACCGCTGGGGGTCTCATCAGCTCTCGTTACCTCGTTGATTTCTTGCTGGAGTTTCCCTAGAAACCTCGTGCTGGTGAGGGTTGATTGTGTCAACAGTTCTTCTTGTTAGTCCTGATTTTTTAAGGAGTCCCTGAGGCTGAGCAGATGAGGAAGAGTATTTTGCAGTTACTCTATTACTTGGTTGTTTACCAGTGAATGTAAAAAAAATACGATTGCAGCTAAGGTGTCCTGTTAGTGATATCCATGTTGTATGTTGTTTATGATGAAAAAAATAATAAATGGCGAAATTCTGGGCCACTTAGTGATGTGAACATTCAACATTGAAGGAAAATATTGCATATTACAGTGAGTGTACTTCATCTGTTGTAATTAATAGAATGTTTGTCTGAGTGGGCACTCGAGGCAACAGTTCCCATCTCTTGAAAGGTGGGCACCTGCAGAGATATAGACATGAAGTAAGTAATGCGTTGTTTGAGTGGGCACTCGAAACAACCGTTTCCATCTCTTGCATGGCGGGCACCTGCAGAGATATTCATTACATGACGTGTCACGTACTGGGTAGCTACGTGACATCCTGTTGACTGAGAGTCTTGAGATCTTTTTTTGGTAAAATTGAAAGATATTCGCTTGTCATTTCTTTAGTTTTGATGAGGATCGATAAAGAGCCATGCCCTAAATAATTTAAAGTATGTACCAGACCGCTGCTGACTGCGGATCTGCACCAGTATTGTGAGTATCAGACGAAGGAAGTACAAAGGAGAAATGACTGAACAGTTGAATACTTTGACATACATATACTTAACGCTACCAGTTTTAGCTACATGCATGTTCAATGTTGTGAAATTTATCCCGACGCAGAACGCGTCATTTGGATATACGCATGCAGCTGGTCGAGACTCTGACATAAGTCTTATTACAGATTTTTTTGGACTCCCTATTAACCTATCCAGCTTAAATGTGAGTGATAATAATGCTCAAACATAAGTCTTATTTAAAGGAGTTGAAGTGTTCCCAATGGTCAACTTCAGGCCCATATATAGACTTAATCAGTCGAATCGTAGGTTCTGTCCATAGACAGGGACGTCGCTATAGGGGTAATACACCCCCAATAATTCAAACGTTGGTCAAAATGGAACTGATATTTGCCCAAAGTTGGTCAAAATGGAACTGATATTTGCTTAAAATTGAAGGTAAAACTCGGAAGTATTTGGTCAAACTTTGGGATAAAAGAAGGTCGAAGTTGGCAAGTTGCTCAAAGTTATGAAATGTTCGCAATTTTAAAGCTTTTGTTATGTTTGCGGTGAAAAAATTGGAAGCCTTGCGTGTCTTGGTCGAAAAATTTTGAATATGCTTATGTTAGATCGGAAAATTTTTTCGACTATGGTTATGTTAGTAGTCCGGAATAATTCGTACGACTTGGTCAAAATCCTAGGAAATGTTGGTCAAAACATGACGACCCCCCCCCCCCAATGTTGATGGTTTCGCGACGTCCCTGTGGTTCTGTCGCTTGCCTTCTGGCAGGGGCCATATCGGGGATTATCACCCGATCAAGTGCTTTCTTCTTTTAAAATTAATTATTCATATTTTCCACAATTTCCTCAAAGCATATTTTGAAAAACTAGACACGTAGATCTAGTGGCTTACATAACAATTGTCAGTTTCACGATAATTAGAATTTTTAAAAATTTGAACTTGTATTTAGTAAGAAGGCAACACGATAAATCTTGTTATATGCACACACCTGTAATGTATGGAGTACGTACAGAAATTAGTGAAGTGTTGTTCTAAGGCTCGTAGGATTTAATAGGATGACATCTCGAGACATGCAGAGCGCAAGTTCTAAATGAATCACCAATGTCCAGTTTTCAGTTTAAGTTTCCAAGCTGCGGATATGACTCATTAAATTGACATGCTTCGGGATGTTGTTTCTGAAAATAATTGACTGGCGAAAAACAGTAAAAAAGAACAAAAGATGGGGCGTGATTGTAAATGAGAGAAAGACGAGGCGAGCTCAATAAATGAGGGCGGAGCTTGTTCACGGGAAGGCTTGATCAGCCCATATATTCCTACAGTACCTGTAACATATAGGGCCGGCTATCGCAAAATATTCACATCCATGCAGTTGCGTAATAACTTTCCAACGTTGATTACAAAATTTTGTTTTAGAATGTTGAAACACCTTTAATTAAAATAATAGTATTCGTTGGAAATGCTTCATAGCCATATATTAATGAGTGTATTTGTTTTCTTTTTACTATACAGAGTTACTGTACTAACTTGTGCATGCATGCAGGCCTGTTTTAGACGTTGAACGTAACGTTTTATATGCCGAATACAAGTAACAAGGTCTGCTTTCCAATAATCGCACGGAACATTTAAAATCCTTTTACTGTAAATCATACTTTGTTCAACCCGAACAACCATCTCCAATCCAAAGATCTAGTAAAGCCTCCTTCGCAGGTATTTTAAGGGGGTTCCTGTGTCATAGCTGAGGATAAAAAAATCTTAAGCTGCCTTATAAGGTTATTTATGTTATAAATAAGTCAGACGTTTTGGCGTCTTTGGATTCGAGCAGTTGTTTTCACCCAGACATTGTGACCCCATAACCTGGCATTAACAACACAAAAGCATTGCTATGCCAAAATTGTTGAACATATAATTTGTCATGTACTTGTTTTTTTAAAAGAGCTTTGTGTTTGTATGTATTGGATCAATGCATAAAATATTTAAAGCAAGGCCAAATTTTTGTTTGAGCATTAGGCTTGTAACAATAGTTGAGAACTAAAACGGAATAAATGTGGCCTTTCTATAGATACATTTAAAACTATGATATATAAACTTTATATCACAGCATTAAGAATTTGTTTTAATGTATACGATCCTCGCTCGTATGTCCAAAGTGTATTCTGTACGTAGTCTAACCGTTCCAATCTTGTGCTACATGTAGAATAATAATGTATGTATATTTTAAGAATGCGGAAAACGCAGATTGTAGTCTGAACTCCGAATTCTAAAAATTCCTGGAAATATAGGTATGTAAAATATGAATTAATCCTCGGACGTTTATAGAAACATGTTAGATTTCATGTCCTCTTTCGTCGATTTATATACTGTATATAGCATTCCGTCTTGAGACCTCCTTCGTTGATTATCTTAATTGTTTAAAGGATTATAGTGTCACACCTTTCACACCAGGAGATGTGGGTTCCAAGGACATCACTATAAACCCGTGGAAGGTTTTCTTTTGTAATCCGTCGTATATCTTAAGTTCTTAATCATCGATCCTTTGAGAATCCTTGCTTCTTTTATCTATAATTTATCTGATTTATTTTGGAAATGTTACGTATTTTCATCGTATTCGTTGCTGTTGAAGTGTTGCATGCATGGTAAGATAAAAACTATTAATAACACATGCATGCCTGCAATGCATGACCCTGACCTATGAGAGTTTATTTAGGGTTACCGCGTATATAATTTTCTCTAAATAAATACAGTACTAAGCTCGATATTGTTATCGCTTTTCGACAAAGAGAAATATTTCGGATTTAGTCTCGTACTGTTTTTAATAGTGTCCATATATAGCACTTCTGTGTTATTAATATCTCGACTACGACTGCTGCTATATCAATAGTTCCGATTCCCGAATGTTGGTTTCATTGTAAGCAGCGTTGAACAATATTCAAGATAAGTTCTTTGTATGTTTGCATGGCGATAAAACATATAATAGTTTTGTTTGTGGAAACACCACGTAAATTTATTACTGCAAAGTTTTTTTACTGCAAAGCTTTCGATCCGTAAGCCCGGATCATCATCAGAGTGT